CTGTAGGAGGACCCGCTTTGGCAGGGGGTTGGACTAGATGATCTCCAGAGGTCCCTTCCTCGGGTGGTTCTGTGACCCTGGTCTGGAGCAGGGCCTGTTCCCAGCGCTCAGCACAGCACAGGGGCTGCAGGCCAGGACTCAAGGGAGTGTTAAAAATATCTAATGCTGATGAAAGAACAACTTTCACTTTTGAGCAAGAAGGAAAATGGCCTGTCGGAGCTGTGTGTTTCTAACGTAGATGCCGCAGGGCTGTGTGTTTGGCAGTAACTGTGGGCAGGAGGGTGCTGTGAGCGCTGGGCTGGGCGCTTTTCTGCAGAGAGGATGGCAGCAGAAGTTTGGAAGCCGCTCTGCGCTTCTGGGAGGGAAGGAAATAAAATATCGAGCCTATTTTCAAATTACAGACAGAGATTAAAAGCTCTTTCCTCCGGGGAGCGGAGCAGGAAAAACCAAGTGGAGATGCCGGGGATTGAACCCGGGGCCTCATACATGCAAAGCATGCGCTCTACCACTGAGCTACATCCCCTGCTTGGGAAAGTAGCTTTGTGCGTGATACATAGAGAGTCAACACCGCCGGGACCAGCGGCTGCATGTCACCGCATCTCCCCCTGCACCGGCGCTGGCGGCGGGAGCGGCGGGGAACGGGCGGGCGGCTCTGCCCGGGGCGGGACGCGCTGCGGGGAGGCTGCGTCCTTCAGGACGAGGGCAGGAAGCTGTCCTAACATGCCCATCCTCGTTAGTATAGTGGTGAGTATCCCCGCCTGTCACGCGGGAGACCGGGGTTCGATTCCCCGACGGGGAGGTCACATATCTTTTTACTCCCGCTCGCCGTTTTTCCCGGGCGGTCCCCTCGGAGCGGTTTAGTGACGCACCGGTGCAGCGCCGTGACCGCCAGGCTGCGTCACAACCACCCCCCACCGGAGGCGGGGGGCTGTGGGGGGCGAAATGAGGCAGGCAGCGCCGCGGTTTTTAAACCGGGGAGCGGGGCGCGGGGGCCGCCCCCCTTCCCAGGGCCCTGGGGTCCCGCCCCGCCATGCGGCGCTTGGAAAGGGTGGGGAGAGGAACCCCCGACCGCCCCAGGAACTGCGTGGGTGAACCCCGCGTGGGGCATTGGCGGGGGTACCGGCACTCACGGGTGCGCGGGGCGGGGTCGTATCCACGGCCAGTGGCGGGTTCAAAACGCGCCGAAATAGCTCAGTTGGGAGAGCGTTAGACTGAAGATCTAAAGGTCCCTGGTTCGATCCCGGGTTTCGGCAGAAGCTTTTTCCTTTGGCCCGGCGGGTCCTTTTGCCGCCGAGCGGAACCTGTCGGGCCGGGTCCGCGGTTCCTGCGAGGGGCTGCCGCCGCGGGGGTCACCGGGGGCGGGGGGGGGCCCTGTGGAAGGAACCGCTTCCCACAGCAGCGGTGGTGGTACCGGCCATGGGGTCCCGCAGCGGGTGCTAGCCCATGGGCCGGCCCGCAGGAAGGTTTTGACAGGCCGTCCTCGTTAGTATAGTGGTGAGTATCCCCGCCTGTCACGCGGGAGACCGGGGTTCGATTCCCCGACGGGGAGGTTACATATCTTTTTCTTTAAAGTTTTTTTTTTTTCCTTTCGGCACGATTTTGCTGATTTCCGATGGAGAATAATAATAATAATTAAAAAAAAAAAAACCAACCAAAAAACCCCCAGCTTTTGTGTGCGGAGTATTCCTGTACTTCTAAGACTGCCGTACAGCACCGACAGCACCGACACCTCCATCCCGGGCCTGGGAGCCACACGGCTGCCACGTCCCCGGGCTCCCCGGGGCGCTGCCCGCGTCAGGGCCCCCCTCTGCCCTCCCCTCCGCGCACACAGGCCGGGAGGAGGAGGAGGAGGAAGGCGGGCAGCGCAGCGCGGTTCCCTTCCAGGCACCCACCTGGCCGGCAGGCAAAGGGGCCAATGCGGGCAGGGGGATGTAGCTCAGCGGTAGAGCGCATGCTTTGCATGTATGAGGTCCCGGGTTCAATCCCCGGCATCTCCACTTCTTTTTCCCCACCCAGTGGATATCTATTTTATCCAGGGTTAAACAACAGAAAACCACCGTGAACGTCCAGTCCAAAAAGGCCCACGGTGCCAGTGATACAAAACGGCTTTTTTTTTTAATCATCTGGTTCTCCTCAGGACTAAGCACACACACAAGATTCTTGTGTCTCTCGGGGTATTTCATTGCCACACTACGGCCCTGCAGGCGCCAAGGAGCCCCAAAGGAGGAAGGAAGCACCAAACCCTGAAATGCAGAGGTCATGCTGGCCTGTGTGACACCTCACCACCCCAGAATCTAGCAGAGCTATGTCCAAACCTCTCTACCCCCTCTCGAGGGTCTCTGCACAGCATCCCCACGCCAGAGACAAAGGGCCAGGATGCCACAGGTTCCTGTACTCCCTGGCTGCGATGGTGCAGGAGGTTTCTTTCTGGCTCTGCTGCCCTTCTCCAGCTGGATGCTCATGGGCTGGATGCTCAGGCTTTGCTGGGCGCAGGTCGAGGAGCTCTCAGGAAAGAAGCTCCCTGCTTTGATCTCCTTGGGTTGGCCAGCTCACACAGTTGTGTCTCATCTGGGAAACTCTGAAAGGTATGGCACAGACAGACCAAAGCCCACATGGAGCTTGAAACAGCTTTTATCTACAGTTAGTTCAGTTACCAGGTCTTTTATCTGCACTGTTCGGTTATCAACGGCACATCCAGCTCTCTCTGGCAGGGAGAGCTGCCTACCGACACATGTAAAATGACATTTCCTGCCAGAGTGGTATAAATGATCCTTGTGCTATTTTTTTCCTGGTGTTACCTCTAGTTGTTATTTTGAGCTAAATATTTGGCTACAGCACCAGTAAGTGCAAAGATCCCCGTTGTAAATAGTTCCCTGCACAGGACCTCTCCGAGCAGCTGCACCTCTGCGATCCATACACCCCGCACGTGAATACAGGAAAGAGACAGTTCCTGCCCCAGAGAGTTTGTAATAACAGCTGTGAAGTGACAGGCTTTTGTGGTGCAGGAAATCAGTATTTCTCAGTGCAACAGGTGATGGTCTGTTAGGACCAACATCCTACCATTCACCACGCCTGTCCTGAAATCGCAGCCAGGGGTGGCTGAGCAGATGGTGCCGGAGAAACACGGAGCAGCTTTGTTCAGAGAGAGCCCCTCCTGCTCAGGACAGCACTGCTCTCCCGCAAACCAGCCAGATGGATTTAGGGACTCCGTTGCATTAGGGCCTAACATCTGCCTTGCAATCGGAATATAACACAAATCAGAACCTCCAGGAGTGTGCTGCTCCACCGCTTGATTCGGACACAGGGTGTGAACTCACTCAGGATGCTCAGGGGTTGGTTGCCTACCCTAATTAGATGAACAACACTGTATCATCTTAACTTCTTCCCATTACAAAACTCCATCATCTTACAATGAAATACGTTGCCATGTGCCTTTATGACTATTTTCAGACCAGTCCTGAGTGCTCACTCTGTAACTGAAAGAATAAGCTTAGCATGCCTATTCACTTTCAGGTAAGGAAAGACCTAAATCTAAAAGGCTATTCCAATCTTTATGTTTCTATAACTCCAGATGTACACAATATACACCACCAAGCACAATTCTAACCTGAGAAGAAAGCAGAAGACTTTTGTGGGTTGGTTTTTGTTCTGTTTTGTTTTTTTTTTCCAGCTAAACGAGCCGGATGTTTGAGATTATTATTGCTATTGCAACTCAGTGCACCAGCAGATGAGAAGCTCCCCAGAGCATCCCCCTCCTGTAAAAGCTCCATGTGTCAGGAAAATGCAGGCCAGTTTCCCTCAAACCAATCACAAAGCTGTTGCTGGGCTTCCTCTCCCTTCCTACTGGTGTGCAGCCCTGGGTGTTATCTGTGTCCTCTTGGCAGGCAGCGGTTTCCTTGGGTGCAGGCAAACGAAGGATTGCGTTGGCGGATTGAACCCAACGGCATCTCCTGAATCTTGGAAACAAAGCCCCGCTCTGTTCTCAGCTATGTCCTGGGATCGCTGTATAGCTTGACTGGGGTGGCACAGGAGCCAGCCAAGTGCAACAGAGATCTCCCAGAAGGTGCTCTATGAGAACAGAATAAGAAATAAGCATTATTTTTTCTATTTGTGATAGACTTTACCCCAGTGGCAAGGCCTTAGTTCTGAGTTATAAACACCATTATATCTCAGATGCGCACTCCCCTTCATTTGTGCACATATATATATATCTACTCACTGACTGTAGCTCATGCAGACAGACTGCTGGCTTTATGTCTCAGTCCCTTGGGACTCCTTTGTCCTTCACTTCACCTCTCCGGGCTGCCCGATGGCTGTGCCCTGGCAGGAGGCCGCCCTGCCCCAGTGTGGTCCCTGCCCTTCAGGCTGCCCTGACCTCAAGCCCCGACAGCTGGACACCGAGGTGTCTTCCCTCTCCCTTGCTCCTCAGGCCACGGTGGCACCGAGGGCCTAGCACAACCCTGCCCGCAGGCTTCACCCTGCCAGGCCCCACAGGCTGGCCCCAGTTCTGGGTGGAAGAGGCCACACTCCCCCGCCACTTCTCTCCCTTCAGAAGTCTCCCTTCTCCCGTTGGAGACTTCTTAAATAGAAATACGCGTCTTCCTTTGGACTAAAACAACAACCCTGCTCCCCACAGGGAACCTCAGGCCCAGAGCTGCCCCTCACCCTGCCCCTGGGAAGAAAATCAAGGAGGTGCTTTTGAAACAGGGGGTGCGACTTGTAGGGGCTTAAATCTCTGAATAAAAGCTAAGGCTCTCATGAGAATCTGCAGCCACGGGGGCGACTCTGAAGCCGGGCGGGCTCGGCTCGCTGAGGCACCGCAGGCCCCTGCGGGCCCCGGCCCCGCTCTAGCGGATCCAGGCCAGGTTTTACCCCGCGCTTCTTTGGGCGCTCACTGCCCTCCCCCGCCCGCCATCCGCGGTCGCAGCACCGCGCGAAGCACTAACTCCTCCGCGTTGCCGGGCCTCGCTTCCTTCCGCCCGTACAGTAGAACTGCGGCGCGCGCCGTAGGGAAAATAGTGCCTGGCGGAGTGATCCGAGCCTCGGGGGCGGAGCGGAAGAGGCTTTATAAGGGGCGGGAAGGGAATGTGTGGCGCAGTTGCAGCTGCATAAACTGAGGGGGGTTATTGTGCTGTCGGCTTAGCCTGCGAGCTCCGCGGTGAGTGTGCCGGGCCCCCGCGGGGAGGGCGGAGGGTTAGAGCCGCTTGTCGTGGCGCCGGCGGGGTTTAGATGTGTGCTGGGCGGGCGGAAGATGCGCGTGTGCCCAGGGGGGAAGGGAAGGGGGCTGGGGAGACGGCGGGCTGAGGAGATGGCGGGCGGGGGCTGGGCCGGGCCGTTGCCCTCCCTCTTGGAGGCAGCACGGCGGAGCGGGCGGCGGAGATGGGCGGGAGAGGGGGGTGCGGGCGGCTACCGGCAAAATGGCGGCCGCGCAGGCGCAGCGGCCCCTCAAAATGGTGGCGGGCGGGAGCGCGCGCCATGGGCAGGAAGGGGAGCGGGGCGGGTGGCCCCGCCCTTTTTCGGGGGTGTGGGCGGTCCCTTCCCTGTGACGTCACAGGGCGCGCGGCGGGGACGCGCGCTCCCGGACCAGAGGGCTCCCCCGGGCGAGGTGGGCTCCCGCTGCTGGGCCTCGCCGCGGCTTCCCATGGGAGGGCATGGGAGAAGTGACTAAAGGGCAGGGATTTCTCCCCTTCCAGAGAAAATGCAGATCTTCGTGAAGACCCTGACAGGGAAGACCATCACTCTGGAGGTTGAGCCCAGTGACACCATTGAGAATGTCAAGGCCAAGATCCAGGACAAGGAAGGCATTCCACCCGACCAGCAGAGGCTGATCTTTGCTGGCAAGCAGCTGGAAGACGGGCGCACCTTGTCCGACTACAACATCCAGAAGGAATCCACCCTGCACTTGGTGCTGCGTCTGAGAGGTGGCATGCAGATCTTTGTGAAGACCCTGACAGGGAAGACCATCACCCTAGAGGTTGAGCCCAGTGATACCATCGAGAATGTCAAGGCCAAGATCCAGGACAAGGAGGGCATTCCGCCCGACCAGCAGAGGCTGATCTTTGCTGGCAAGCAGCTGGAAGATGGGCGCACCTTGTCCGACTACAACATCCAGAAGGAATCCACCCTGCACTTGGTGCTGCGTCTGAGAGGTGGCATGCAGATCTTCGTGAAGACCCTGACAGGCAAGACCATCACTCTGGAGGTTGAGCCCAGTGACACCATTGAGAATGTCAAGGCCAAGATCCAGGACAAGGAAGGCATTCCTCCAGATCAGCAGAGGCTGATCTTTGCTGGCAAGCAGCTGGAAGACGGGCGCACCCTCTCAGACTACAACATCCAGAAGGAGTCCACCCTGCATCTTGTGCTGCGTCTGAGAGGTGGCATGCAGATCTTCGTGAAGACCCTGACAGGGAAGACCATCACTCTGGAGGTTGAGCCCAGTGACACCATTGAGAATGTCAAGGCCAAGATCCAGGACAAGGAAGGCATTCCACCCGACCAGCAGAGGCTGATCTTTGCTGGCAAGCAGCTGGAAGACGGGCGCACCTTGTCCGACTACAACATCCAGAAGGAGTCCACCCTGCATCTTGTGCTGCGTCTGAGAGGGGGTAACTGAACTGCCCGATTGTTGCTTGCATCCAAGTAAAAGTTTCTCTGCACTTGTTCATTCCAATAAAGCTGTTGCATCCACAAAAGTTGGTGTCTCAAGTTATGTGAACAACTATTTATGCTGCTGCCCAGGCCTAGCTCTCTGTTAAACTCTGATTATGTAGCTTCCACATAAAAAGGTATTGCGAAACGGCCCTTATGCAAGGCTTACACGTGCCTGGCAGCCGCAGCTAATCCTTGTGTGGTGGGTTTCCTGAGGTTGTATAAGCACTCTCATAATGAGCCAGAGCCCTGGCTGAAGTTCAGTGCCAGTCTGCAGGTGTTACGCAGCTGTTTGGCTGTGTAAGCCACCATATGTAAAGTGAAACTGCAATTGTTTTGGAGCTGGGAGGCTTTAATAATAATACTGCAGTGCCCGCTAATTGCCAGGTCCTGCCCCCGGTGTTTTGGCATTCGGGGAGCAACAGCCAGCGAAAGGGATCCTGCAGCCAACACAGGGCCAGCAGCCATCTCCTGCTGTCCTCTGGTGGGTCAGGGTAGGACATCACTGCTGCTCTGGGGCCCTTGGACCAGGGGCTTGGGGAGTGTTGGGGCTGGCATGAGTCTTATCATCCGGTTATGGAGTAGGCTTCATTTCATGAAAAGCTTAAGCATATTAAGCAGAGTTTGTAGTTTCAGATGAGCTGGCTTCCTTACAACTTTGGGAGGTGCTTTCATTCCAGCTTTGCACTAAGTGGAAATTATATTAAAGAGTGTGAATGAGCTGAAAACAATGTCACGAGCGGTTCCCACGTGATATAAGAGCAGTGGTGAGAGGGACGTCTCCACCACAGAGCTGTGTGGTGAAGTGGAGGGTGCTGGATGTGGGAGCTCCTGGGGGGCTGACCATGGGGCGCTGGGGAGCAGAACACCAAGAGTGTCCCCAAGGAGAGCGGTGGCGTGACTCCCCTTGGAAGGGAATGTGGTGGGAGGTGGAATGGAGGCCCTGAGGCCTGATGTGATCTTGGAAGGGTGGGATAGCAGGATTCGACTTGACAGATTATTAATTAATCTTGATGGAGAGAGGGGTGGAAGATGCTCTTAGTGCCTCCTTGCCTGTGAGGAGCAAGTGTGGATGGCTGGAGGAGGTTGCAGCCTGCCCCAGGAGCACCGTGCCATGGCTCAGCTCCTGCTGGTGGGGGTGGCCCGGCTCTGCCCACGCGTGTCCTGGCTGCCGGGGACACAAACAGTGGTGCTTGTCCTTGTGTGGGTTTCCTGGCCCTCGGAGCCGTCTGCATTCACGCAGCAATTAAAAATTGAGCCCGTCAGCAGTTCTGAGCGTGTGGTGATGGAGCTCCTGGGCTGTGGGTGTCTGACCCAGTTGGGGCGTGGGTGTTCCAGGAATGAAGGGACCTGCCCTGGGGTGAGGGGGTGGTTTCACAGCTCCTTTCTCCCCGTGCCCAGGAAACTCCTGCTGATCCGAGGAGAAAGCTGTGAAATAGGAAATAGCTGTGAGCAGATCTGATTGGAATGTGACCTGATTGCTGTGGGGGAAAGCGGCGGGGGGACCTGGGGACACTTGGAGAATGTCAACAGCCTACACCAATGGCTGCGGGGCTGTGGTTTAGTTTAAATGAAAAAAACAAAACAACTCCATGAAAAAAACCACAACAACTACAATTCTGCACTTAAAAGACTATAAAAGCTGCACAAATGGGTAACGCCATGAACGGCTCAGAGTGGAGACCACAGCTGGGGTGGGATAAACCATGGATCGTCCGGGTTTGGTGGGAACAGTGGAGCGTTTGGTAAAGGTTTAAGGATGTTTTTTGTTCTGTCCATGGAAGTCCTCGCTGTCCGGCTCAATCACAGAATCACCACGGTTGGAAGGGACCTCTGAGCTCATGCGGCTCCACACTGTTCCATCTATCCCACAGAGGTGGGGAGAGGTGTCTCCTGGGGTTACAGGGGTTTGAAGGAAAACTGTCAGAGGGTTTTCCAGCAAAATGTTTTAAAAGAAAGGAAAATGCAGCACTGAGTGTGTGCTGGCTCTGCCGGCATCGCTGCTGGGGAAGGGGGTCTGGCTGGTGTTGAACAGGGACGGTTAATTGGCAATTAAACAGAGGTAGATGGTCCAGAAGAAAAAAAGGCACAACTGAAGGTAAGGGTATATAAATGCAGGTGTTCCACCATGGTGAAGGCCACGGCCAGGTCTTCTGCTGTCCTGGCCTGACACCGTGGGCTGGTGTCTCCCACCTGGATCACTCCTGGGTCCGGCCCCTCCGGCTTGGATCGACAGATGGCTGGGACAGCGTGTAACTGTGATAAATAGTCACAAACTGCACTCTTCCCTTCGGTTTTGATTTTCTGCTGACTTTTAGACACTTTTAGACACGAGTTGCAGCCGGGCTTCTACTCAGCACCACTCGAACTGCGCAAGATACACAAAAAACTCCCAATTCCATGGGAAGAGGGGTGGGTGAAGGGGTGATTTTCTCCTCGAGGGGCTGAGCCGTGGCTCACACCAAATACCCGCTGCGGCAAGAGGCTCGGGGCAACCCCCTGCTCTTGGGGTGGCCACGGGGGGACCGGGTCCCTCCCGGGGGTGGCGGGTGCCCTATGTGTGTGCATATATATAGGTATGCACGCACATATATTTCTATTTTTTATCTATTTTTACCTATTTATATATTTTTATCTACTTATCTACTTTTCTCTATTTAAATATGTCCACATATATTTATAAATTAACGTCTGTTTTTATGTTTATACACACACGGCTCTGTTTACCGTGGGTTCGCCCGCTCCCCGCCCCGCCCGCGCTCACC